CCCATTGGGGGAAAACGTGCCAAAGGAACAAGTCACAGGCGCAGCTCAGGGCTTGGGAAGGGGGGAGAGCGAGGCCGTAGAACCATTCCCCCCCCCAGCCTCAGCAACCCCCAAAGCTGAGAAATCCTGAGCCGACCCCCCCAAAATCCCGAGACTTTTGGCAGCTATTTTGCGTGGGGCCGTACAATAAGGCCCCTGGGCGTTTTCCTGCTCCGAAGTGACTTTCCGTCTTACCCCCCACCCCTGCAGGATCAGGCCTTTTGCTCCTTAGCTGGGCAAGCCTCGATCGGACTCACGGACAGCAGGCAGTGCACATCGGCCGCTGGCTCCCCCCGAGGGCCAACGGCAGTCCGCGGAGGCCCTAGCGGCAGCGCGGCAGGCACGTGCCGGCAAAAAAATAAATAAACGAATAAATAAATACAAGCGGCAAAGAGGCCTGAAATGATACTGTCGTTTGCCGGGAATGAGAGACACAAGTGTAATTTAGGTTTTGATATTATGAAAGTCTCACTGCTCTAAAACAGCAGGGCACTCGGTGGCTCATTAATAAAGGATAAACTTGGAGTCTATTTACAATGCACTTTTTGGGGTTATTTACACTCCATTATACATATGTAATGCTGCACATATTTTCCGAGGGAGGGCGCCGCCGCCGGGCGGGCTCCCCACGCCGCATGTCGCCGCCGCGGGCGTTGACAGACGGAAGCTGGCGTGCTTTGCGCAGCAGGGGGATCCACGGGAAAGGCTCCTGGCCTGAGCTCTGACGCGGGATGCGCTGGGAGATTCGCGGCGTCAGACGCGGGAGAAAACATCTGCATTGACCAGCCAAGCCCAGCCTGATCCGACATCGCTCCACGATAGCGATTGATGTTAATGGCGTCCGTCTAGCTTCACACCCGGGTCTGATTCTGGGCTCTTGTGCCGTCTGCAATGCCATGGCCAGCAGGTGTCGCTCTGCCACACAGGCAGGCCACCGGCAGACGCTGACCCCTGCTGCAGGGATGAGGGAAAGCCCCTGGTAGTTGGAGGGCACGAGGGTTCACTCCCAGAGCTGGGCGCATGCCGAACGAAGAACGTGCGAATATTCTAGCTCTGTGTTTCTCAACCAGCGCCCCTTAAGGGGACTCGAGAGAAGTCTGTGGGTACGTCAACACAACTGACATTTGGAGAAAACGGAATTTTTGTTTTCAGTTTTACAGCACTTTATTATTTTCGCACTTTTTACACCCAAAATTGAATTGCCCGCCCGGCTACGATTAAGTTGTTTAAACAAATGTGTTGCAATGGCAGAAAAAAATGTTGTATGTCTGAAAACTGTAGGTCCTGGGGGTACTTACAACGTTTTTTTTAAAAAGGGGTACTTTAAAAAAAAAAAAAAAGGTCGAGAGAAACTCTTTCTAGCGGCTCAACCCTCCCAACTCACTTCTCAGTGCAGTCCGGGGCCTAGTCTCGCTCACTGGGGCACAGGGTTGTGTTATAACGTAGTGGACATTCCTAGAAACCGAAACAAGGGTGATCCCTTGTGCAAAGAAACGTGCACCTGGGTATTTGCACAGGAAGAGCCGAGTCCCTTTGGAAAAGATGTGCTTTTCTGTCGGCAGAGCTACGTCTGCGCCGCGCTGTTTGTCACGCGAGCTATGGCGCTCGCACGTGGGACGTGTGTTTTTCACACCTCGGCCCACGCTAGCTCCCCAGCTTTGTGAGTAGACAAGACGTAGGCAACCAGTCACAGGGCGAGCGTGGTGAATAATTCTAGCGGCTAATGCCGGAATAATCTAGAGGCTAAATTGTGACGAGTCGACCCGTGCCTGAAAATCACAACCCAGTCACGGATCCAAAAAGAAGCACGCTATACAAACAGGGCTCAATGAGTAGCAAAAAATAATTCCGCTGGTTCCTGTCTTGGCAGTACAGGGCCTATGACACACAGCAGATCACTTGCTGTGCGGCCTTTCACATTTCCCACAAGCAGGGGGATAAACCCTCCCAGCCAAAGATAAAAGAGGCCAGGGAGGCCTCCTCAAACAGGATGGGGGGCACCTGGCTTTGACCATGCCTGAGCCCCACCCCCCAATGCCTCCCCCTC